TGATCTTCGTCGGACAACTTGATGATAATGGTCATTTAATCCTTTTTTCTGGAGGTATGTGGAAAGTATTAAAGAGAGCAACAGTTTTAGCTCGTGGAAAGAAAACCAGTACCTTGTATATGACCACAAGATTTGCAAACATCATTGTCTCTACTGAAGCAGAAAATCAAGCACAACTATAGCACTGTAGACTCGGCTATATAAGTCAAAAAGGGATGAAGATACTTCAGTCGAAGGGAAAACTACCAGAGCTAAAAAATGTTGATCTAGACATTTGTGAAAGTTATGTTCTTGGAAAACAAAAGAAGCTTAGTTTCTTAAAGGTTGGCAAGACCTTAAAATCAAGAAAGTTAGAACTGATACACACAGATTTATGGGGAGCTTCTCTAGTGGCATCTCTTGGAGGTTCTATGTATTATGTGACTTTTATTAACAATTTTAGCAGAAAGGTATAGGTCTATTTTATGAGAAATAAATTTGATGTGTTTGAAACATTTAAGAAATGGAAGGTTATGGTTGAGACTGAATCAAGTCTGAAGTTGAAATACTTAAGATCTGATAATGGAGGAGAATACATTGATAGAGGTTTCAAAGAGTATTGTGTTGTCAATGATATCAAAATAAAAAAGACCATTTCAGACACAACATAATAGAATGGCATCGCTGAACGGATGAACAAGACCATCAATGAATAAGCTAGAAGCATAAGGTTGCATTATAGGTTACCTCAAACATTTTTGGCTGACGTAGTTCATACTGCAGTTTACTTGATCAACCATAGACCATCAGTTCCTTTGGAGTTCAGATTGTTCAAGGAGGTATAGAGAGGAAAAGAAGTACAACTCTGTCATGTAAAGGTCTTTGGTTGTGTTTTCTATGTTCATATAAAGTCTAATGCTTGCAGCAAGCTAAATGTCAAATCCAAGAAATGTTTCTTCATTGGATATGACAATGAAGAATTTGGATTTCAGTTCTAGGATGATCAAAACAGAAAGATTATCAGAAGTAGGAATGTGATCTTCAATGAGAAAGTTTTATACAAAGATAGATCAAGTGTGGAAACAGATATGGATGATTCAGATACAAGTCCGCAAAAATCCGAATTCATAAGATTAGAAAGGTTTCCTAATGTTACCAAGTAGAACAAAAATCAAGAGTCTTTACAAGAAGATTCAAGTACATCTGTACCCACTACTACATATGAAGATACGGAGCCAAATGAACCAACTGTTTATGTTCGCAGGTCTTCAAGGATTGTAAAGCCCCTACAACAGTACACACTTCTACTGAATTATATTTTGCTGACAAATGGTGGTAAACCACTAACTTATGAAGAATCCTTACAAGATGGAAACTCAAGCAAGTGGAAGTTAGCCATGAAGGATGAGATGGATTCGTTGTTGAAGAACAAGACTTGGGAGCTAACCACACTACCTAAAGGAAAGAAGGTTTTGTAAAACAAGTGGGTTTACAGAGTAAAGATTGAGCATGACGGAAGCAAATGGTTCAAGGTAAGACTTGTTGTAAAAACGTTTCAATAAAAGAAAGATATTGACTACTCTAAGATATTTTCTCCAGTTGTGAAGCTCACAATAATTAAAGTTATTCTAGGGATAGTAGCTGCAGAAAAATTACGTCTTGAACAATTAGATGTAAAAACAGCATTTCTTCATGATGACTTGGAGGAAGACATTTACATGCAACAGCCAGAGGGGTTTGCAATATAATGAAAGGAGAATCAAGTCTGCAAGCTAAAAAAAAGTCTATATGATTTGAAGCAAGCTCCAAAACAGTGGTACAAAAAGTTTGACAACTTCATATGTGATTCAGGGTACACAAGATGTCAGGCTAATCATTATTACTATGTCAAATATTTTGACAACTCTTATATCATTCTACTATTATATGTAGAAGATATGTTAATTGCAGGATCCAGCATTGAAGAGATTAATAAGTTGAAATAACAATTGTAAAAATAGTTTGAAATAAAGGATCTAGGAACTGCTAAACAAATATTTGGCATGAGAATCATCAGAGATAAAGACAAAGGCATAATAAAGCTTTCACAAACAGAGTATGTCAAGAAGGTTTTCAGCAAGTTTAGCATGGATAATGTTAAATTAGTAAGTACACCTCTAGAGAATCATTCCAAGCTCAACAAAGACCAATCATCAAAAACTGAGCTAAAATGTGGATATATGGATAAGATTCTATGCGCCTCAGTTATCAGCTTTTTGATGTATACTATGGTCTGTATCAGACCAAACATTGCTCATGCAGTGGAAGTTGTAAGCCGATATATGAGCAATCCTGGAAAGCAGCATTGGGAGGCGGTAAAATAGATCATGACATACTTAAAAGGTTCCTTGAAGACTTGTCTTACCTTTACAACTGGTGATTTGAAACTTGAAAGTTTTGTAGATGTTGATCTCGTAGGAGATGTTGATAACAAAAAAAAAGCACTACATGATATGTATACACTCTAGGAGACACTGCTGTTTCCTGGAGCTCTGCCTTATAAAAGATCATCGCTATTTCAACAACAGAAGTTGAATATGTTACAGTCTCAGAATCTGCAAAAGAGATAGTATGGCTACAGAATTTCCTGAAAAAATTGGATAAGATGAATGGAAAAGATACTCTGTATAGCGACAGTCAGAGTGCAATCTTCCTTGTCAAGAATCCAACATTTCACTCCAGGACTAAGCATATTCAGATCAAATATCACTTCATCCAACAATTGTTAGACGACGAGCAACTAATGCTAGAAAAGGTATGTGGAAGTAAGAATCCAGCTGACATGTTAACCAAAAGAGTTACACTTGATAAACTGAAGTTGTGTAAAACTTCAGTTGGTCTTCAAAGATAAAAGATAATTTTATTGTTTGTCTCCATGTGAGAAATTGTTAGTAAGTGGAGACAAACAATGTCCCACCTCCACCATATGCAAGTGGGAATACCTAATTTCTCACTTGGCATATAATGGAAGCTTAAATTAAGATAAAAATGGTGGCATAAATCATGGTATGCTTTATGCTTCTATTTTCCCATCTTAGTGTATATATATACTCAATAAAGAACTGAGTTCAAGATAGTGAAAAAAAAAAAGAATAGAAGAGAGAGCTAGAGTGAGTAGAGTTGAGTTGAGAAGAGTTTTTCTCCTTCTTCTTTGTTTGTATCGTTTTCTTGATTGATTAATATAAATCAGTAGTTCCGTGGAGTAGGCAAGTTGGCGAACCACGTAAATTTATGTGTGTTTGATTTTTGTATTGTCCCAACAAGGGATAATGATTCTAGCTCGATTTCATAAAGCACTCCAATTCAGTATCTATTAGCTAAGGAAGTTGCACATAATCAGTACCTTTACCAACTTGATGTCAATAGTGCTCTTCTTCACGGTGATATACATGAAGAAATTTATAGATCTCCACCTCTTGGTCTTAATAACATGGGAAGAATCTAGTGTCACCTCAACAAGTCGTGACATGGTTTAAACAAGCTTCTAGTCAATATTTTTCCAAGTTCTGTACAGCTATAAAAGCTGCGAGATTTGTTCAATCCAAAGTAGATTACTTATTTTTCACACGTCGAAAAAGCATAGCCTTTAAAGCCTTTGATAATATATGTTGATGATATTCTTTTTTGGGATTGTATCTTATTTCATGGACAAAGGGGCAAAAAACCATATCTTTATCCTTAACAGAAGCCAAATATGCAGCCATGATAGGTACTTGTTGTGAATTATCTTGGCTTTAAAGATTTGTGAATATTGCATTCAAAACCAACGTTGTTATATTGCGGTAATAAAGCAGTCTTACATGTAGCAACCACTTGAGTATTTTATGAAGAAACCAGTCATATAGAAGTGAATTATCATTTAATCTGTGACAAAATACAAGCAAGTTGGGAGTTGTTGATATCTACTCTCCATCTTGAGGGGGAGATGTTAAAAACAATAAGAAAAATAACAAGATTAGCAGGATCATATATATTATGTTAAGGAAGATCAACTTGAAAAGATCAGTGATTGTCATGTATAGATTAAAAATGACAACGCGTGTGATTGTAATAATCATGCCAGCTATTTCAGGAATAAAGAACAACATTAATTATTTGTTCACAAGTCAACCAGCAAGTTTTTTTTTTACCCTATAATACAATACGATCTATTTTTTTTTATCCTGGTTGATATTTCATAATCAGTTGAATCGGTAATGTCAGAGGTAATGAGCTTGTAGTTGATATTTCATAACCATACACACCAAAGAAAGAAAGAAAGGTCAGAACATGGGCATCTTGCTACTTGCATCGTTGTGTTACAAGGATTAAAGACAAGGTATCTGCAAGTGGTAAATGATTTCAACGTGAATTGTAGAATATTATTGCTGATGGAGGTTGGGAGTAACCTATGCTTTCAAGCAAACAAATCATTGGCCAGTAATCGAATACATCTTTAAAGCAATTATTTACCAGGAACTTCAACATTTTCTAGCAACAGGCATGGCTAGTTGACCAAGCACTGCTGGATATAATACAAGCTGCAGCATTTAGAATCACAAATCAACTCTTCTCTAAGCACCATTCTTGAATGCTTTACACTCAAAAGCAGCAATATCCTAACCTGACATTTATCCTGAAACCATGAAAGCAAACCTTCTAATTGCCACCACATTGTGTCTCTCTTCCCGCAGACAATGAACCCTGAAACACTCCCAATCGTCTCTTAACTTTGATAAAGAGGAATGGAAAATATTTTCTCATTCAACCAGAAAAAATAAATTCTCTTTATTTTGTATCCAAAAAGAAAATCTTAACTCAAATTTAGTTTTTTCATTTATACTTTAGAGTCCTTTGGCTCATTTTTAAGCCGTTTTACTATCCCACCTGATTCCGCTTTTGAACCCGGGATCTTCTCCTTTATAAGAGACAGTTACTATTGAACTAAATCGGGTGGTTAAACAAACATCAAATTACAACAGAAAGAAAAGAGATGGTTGACAATGACAGCAGGTTTAGTGACCTTCTTACTCAGTAAGCTTGCAGATTTTATCCAAGAAGAGGAGCGACTATTGGCAGGTGTTAAGGCAGAAGCCGAGTACATCAGGGATGAACTAGAGTTCATGCTGGTCTTTCTAAGAGCTGCAGATGCGATGGAAGAGAAAGACGATGGACTTAAAGTGTTGGTGCAGAGAGTGAGAGATGTTGCGTATGACGTGGAAGATACTCTTGATCTTTTCAGGCTGCGTCTCACACATGATCATGGGGATAAGTTCTGTTCTTCTGTTCAAACAATTTCCAACTCCATCGTCACTTTAAAAGCTCGGTGACACGACGAAAAGATTGATGTCTTCTCCCAAGTGCAGGAGTGTCGAAGTAATAAATAACCCGGCAAGACCGAGGTCGAACCACAGGGAGGTTAATTGTAAAAATTAAAAACAA